GCATGTTTGACTGTGTGACAGCTGGTTGTGAGGGTCCTTGTTGTGCGACTGAACAACGGGTAAATGATCTGTGTAAACTGGCCTTTTATGGGACTGTGGGGGAAGATGTTTCAGACCCTGTTTAGATTTTCATTATTGTTTGGTCAAAATAAGACTCAGTTTGCAGGAGATTAATAAAGTAACAGTTAGTAACAGTGATTCAACATTACAAGGTGTCATAGGACTCAATACAGAAAGATGACAGTGAACACAGGCTGCTGTGGAATTACAAAATGTTGATCAGGTGACGCACAATGGAATTTTCAGCAGCTTACAGGTGTAACAATGTAAAAGGCATGTTGCATTTGAGGCTACACAGATGGCACATGAGGAATTTGATTCCAGTACAGTGGCTCTCAAAGGGCATGCACAGTGTTCTTATGTAAGGCAACGAGTAGAAATGTAAACTAGGTAAGACTGAGAACAAGAAAAGAAAAATGTACAAACAAGCAAAAGGAATGTGCATTAGGAGAATAAAAATAAAGTACTTATAAATATATATCCACACATTGTGGAAGAAGTGCAGAAGTTAACTTTCATGTTTATAGATTATAGATTTATCAAAGATGGGGAAAAATAGATTTAATTTGGACCATTTTTATTGAGGTTATTGAGCAAAACCCACATCAGACAAAACTGTTTACTCCAAACAGACTACTGGTAATTGTAATAAAACGTGTTCAGAGGGATGTTTTAAAGTTGTTTAGCATAACCAGTCAGAATCAAAATCAGAATCAGCTTTATTGGCCAGGTGTGTTGGACTCATGAGGAATTTGACTCTGGTACATCGGCTTTTAATGTGTATGTACATATCCCGATGCAAGGGACAAGTAAGTGTATACTACATAGTGTCCATTCCTATGTGTGAGTATATACTCTGTTGGCCCTGCCGTCCCAAAGCCTGAACCCAGCAGCAGCAGCAGCAGTCCAGATAGAGCCTGACAGGCTGAAATGAAACACACAGATAGGGAAGTGGCAGCCAGGCAGACAGGAGCCAGTCTCTCATGGGTGCTGGAGATTAGGCTGACTCCTACTTCACATTCCCCAGCAAGCAGAGCATCAGGGGCGTGTTCCAGCCCTCAGAATCTTTTCTTCCTCTCTATCTGCTCCTTCTGTTTCTGTTAGTGGTCTGCTGAGGCTGAGTTGTAAGAGAAGGGGAGAAAGTTCACATTTTTGAGATGATGTGACCACACAACAGCACAGACCAGCGACAGAGTGTAAAGGGAAGCGGTGAGGCCCCTGCCCACCCTGCGTGGTTCCATGGGGCAACAGCAGTCTGTCAGAGATCTGGGAATGGCTTGTGTCAGAAAACAATGATTGATTTAAAGACAAAAAGATACCTGTCAGGGCAAAACACAGTTACAAAGCCATTAATCTCCAGTAAGATTTCTCAGCTTTTTGACATAAAGATGCTGAAAAGGGAACTTCATCTCATGAGAGAGAAAAGTTACTAAATTTGCCAATAAAATAGCTTTTGATCACTGTAGTGAAGTTGAAATATGAAGTAGCACAAAATGAAAATACTCAAGTACAGATACCTCAAAATTTTGCTTAAATACAGTACTTGAGTATATTCACTTAGTTACTTTCCACCACCCAGTATTTCACACCCAGAAGTCAGTTCTATGGCCAGACTGCACATCTTGTCTCCAGATCCACGCACTCAGAGCACACTGACTGTGGCCATACTTCACAGTGAGCTGTCTCCAGACTAGAGAGACAACCTCTGCACATCACTCACATCCAGCCCCAGAAGACACATAAGATTTGAATGTGTTCCCTCTGCCATTGAGGTAAGAGGACAACCTGCATCCTGCTGAGCTGAAATCAACTATGGTGATAGTTGGTATCTAAGCTCCACTCCTAACTAAGTGTTGGCTCTTCTGTTAACATTCTTCTACACCATCATCGGTCCAATCAGAGCTATTTCAGCATTGTCTTTGCTAACTGCTCATTATGCTCTGAGGTTGATTTGAGTTGATAATGCTCTTTCAGTGATGAATGAAGCCTGAGATGATCTTATCTGGAGTGATTGTAGCATCAATTTGCACCACTGACAAGAAATGAGAGAAAAAGCCTCAAAGACCAGACAGACAGACAGCACACGCACACACACACAACTTTAGCAAGTTCTCTCATGGACAATAAATACCTTTAGAAAATTCCTAACTTATCTTGCAGGCATGTGTATGTGAAATGAAGACAGAGGTTGAAATTCCATTCTGAGCCAAAAAATGCAGCTGTAAAGGACAGTGGCGTCACAGAAGAGGATGATCAAAGTTGAAAGGCATTTCTATCCACAGACAATGCCTCCCTGGTGGAAAGGCCTATCAGGCAGTCCACAGAAACATGACCAACAAACTGACATAAACAGCAGATATGCAGCCGGCAAAGAGAATGCTCTGCATTTATGGATCCCAGTTTTTATTGTTGACATAACCATAGACTGACCGGGGGGAGCTGTAATAATGCCACAGGGCCCCCCGGCACACAGCCGCGTGGAGCACTGTGATAGACTGGGTAAATGACACTGCAGGGAGAGCGGGACCTCACCAATCACCTCATTCATAAGGTCGCTATCTGACTCCCGCACTGAGAGATGAGAATTAAACCATCTTGTTGGCTTTTTCTCAGGAGTGAAAAATGGGGGTTATGACATGTGGCACACACAGTTTGTAGTTGGGGAAAATATGTAAAATGTACAAAAATCTATTGAAGGATAAGGTCATGTGAGAAAAAACCAATGCATCATTTGATAATTTGTTTCTTTTTTTTTATTCTGTGTATTTTGAGTTAAAATCCATTTTGGGACATTATGTTATCATAGTAGCACCTGTACTCATGTTAACAATATAAAATATGTTATCACCTGTACTCATGTTAACAATATAAAAACTTACAAATGCTTGCTCCACAGACTGGCAAATTGAAAGTTTTTAGAATGATTTACTAGTTAATTATTTTAAATCATCAAACAGCATTGTTCTTTATATTGAAAAATCATAACAAAAAATAAGACTGTTAAAAGAGGAATTTTGGGCAGGGAACATAGGCCAAACTAGAGAGACGTAGCAGCCCGTCATCAGGATTCATGTAAGGAGATCAGGTGATAACAGAATAGATGTTTAGCTGTCTGTTAAAACAGTCTCTTTCACTGAAAACTTTAAGTTTTTGTAACTTGTGTCCTTCATTTTATTGGCAGGTGCTCTTCCTCCTTATTGCTCATGTAACTTGGGCAATCCAGGAATTTCAGCATTTCCTTTGTTGCACCGCCCTGCTCTGCTCAGTTACTTAATATTATTCCCACTGTAGGCAGAGACATAAAGTGATATTTCTTCAAACCAGCCACAGTACACAGTGAAATAAGAAAAAGGAGAAGTTGAAAAGAGAAGAGTGGTTTCCTGCCATTTCAGGTTTTGAAGCATCTATAAACTGGCATTGATGTACCTGGCACACAGCTTGGAAAACTTGAAGTGAGCATCAGTTTGGCTTCTACAGGTGAAAATGGGCATTCCATCACAAATTAGGTGAGTGTGTTAACTATGGTGGAGCTGTGTTTGTGTTTATGTTGGCTAGCATGTTAGTGGTCACTTGTTCTTTGGTTTCGGACCTGTAATCCTTTTAAGATTATCTGAGAGTTTTAGTCAAAATCAACATGTAATATTCAGGTTGACAGAGTGATCCTTGAAGGTTCTGACATTATTAGTTTATTGATGGATGTTTATGTCACTGATATTTTAGCAGAGCACTTTGTTTTTGGAAAGAAAATTAAAGCTCACACTAACTCCTGTACTTTGTTTATCGACTATAGATATGCTTTTGCTTGCTCATTTAATATTTAATTTTTCAAGGCTTTGAATGTAAATGACAGGTTTGAATTTAATTTTTATATATATTTTTTCTCACCTTACCATACTTACCACACTACCACACTTTTAGGCAGGCTTGCACAGAGCCCCAAAGTTTTCAGCCAATAAATAAATAGGCATTATGGATACATAAAAAAATCATAAAATAA